TCCTCGACATCGTCGTCAGGACTGAAGGTACGTGGCTTACTTCTTGTCTCCATAGCCACTTCTGACGCCAAAAGTAATGGGTTCCGGAGACACTTGTAGAGGTAACTTGTTTATTACAACCCAACACTCTCCAACAGTCCAACTCTCCAACAGGTACACAGCCTAGGTACACAGCCTAGATACTCTACTCTGGCTACGCTCTGGAACTCGCCTCACAAGGTCGTAGAGTCGGGAGTTCCAGAGTCCCACCACGGCTCTCACAGCGTCCCCAGGGTCCTCCGAGGCTGGTCTGGGTCTTGAGCTACGACTGGCCCTGATCGTCCAGGGAGCTCCCCTTTTTATGCCCGTCCCCAACGAGGGGTTGGGGCCGTGGTGCGCCCCCAGATATCCCACAGAGCACACACAGCCCCCCCCTTTGGCGGCGCCAAGGAGATTAAGCGCCTAGGAACCCAACGCCTGGCGCCAAGGGGATTAAGCGCCTGGCCCGCCCAGGACCCAGAGCCCCCAGCAGCCCCTCCCTTCTTATGGTCACTACATAGGGTTAGGGATTAGGGATAAGGGATTAGGTGTTTAGGTGTTAGGTGTTAGGGGTGAGAGTTTGGGTTAGGGTTAATAGGGTTAGGGTTAGTGTTAGGGTTAGGGGTTTGGGTTACAAAGTCAGGATTAGGGGTTGGAGTAAAAATTTTGGTTATGAGTTAGGTTAGGTAGGGTTGAGGTTTAGAGTTAGGGTTAGGTATTAAAGGTTTGGGGTTAGGGTTAGCTGTTAGAGATAGGGGTTAGGGTTAGGCGTTAGAGGTTAGGGGTTAGGGGTTTGTGGTTAGGGTTTAGAGGTTATGGTTGGGGTTAGGGTTAGAAATTTAGGATTAGGGTTAGGAGTTTGGATTAGGGTTAGGGGTTATGGGTTAAGGTTAGGATTTGGGGTTAGGGATAGGGTTCAGGGTTAGGGTTAGAGGTTCAGGGTGATAGGTTAGAGTTCGGGTCAGGATTAGGGTTTACGGGTTAGGGTTAGGGGTTATGGGTTAAGGTTAGGAGTTAGGGTTAGGGGTTAACTTTAGGTTCACGATTAGGGGTTAGGGTTTACGGTTAGGGGTTAGGGTTTGGTGTGAGGGTTAGGGGTTAGGGTTAGAGACTAGGGTTAGTGGTAAGGGTTAGTGGTTAGGGTTAGGGGTTAGGGTTAAAGGTTAGGAGTTAGGGTTAGGGGTTCGGGTTAGCAGTTAG